ATATACTGACAGCTGATCCGGCTGTGATCCGCGACCGATGTCATCAGAAACAGACGTCGCTTCACGTGACACTTTATAAGCAATGGACGTCTCATTTCTCTTAACGCATGTTTCCTCGATTCCTCTTTCTTCGCATGGTTTCGTTGCAAGACGCAAGAGAGGTGAACGTGGACGCAATTAAAAGACTTTCGATGTAGACCTGTGGTACCGGGAATCGAACTCGCGTCCGGCCTTTCCACTTCCACCGCTTTATATTAAGCACTTCCGGTGGTGATGCCAGAGCCCGGATAGCTCAGTCGGTAGAGCATCAGACTTTTAATCTGAGGGTCCAGGGTTCAAGTCCCTGTTCGGGCGGTAGTTTTTTCTTTTCTTTTTGAAACCTATTTGGATGAGAAAATGTTATTAAATGTTATTAACAAGTGTGTTTTGCAACAGTAATTGATCATCTGAAGTTAGCAGCGCAGCATAGCATGTCAACTGTTGGTGAGTTTAGCTTCAGTAGAGACAAAACAGCCCTCCTGGTAGATGTTAAGACACCCAAAGCCTAAAATTGCCCCAAAACCAGTGCCAAACATTAAACCATTTCATTTTAAGCTAGTCATTGAAGTGGAGCTGTAATTACCCACAGTGAGACCTCCCATTATCCTACTGTTGGAGTTGTTGTTTGTGAAAGAATCAATCTAATATGGGGATTAAACTCACTCACAAACAAATAACAGTAACCTAGTAATTTACCTGACATAATCATGGGTATTATCTCTGGACAGAGAGTTGGAACACCTATAAAGCGTAGGTGTTTGTGCAGGTAAAATGGCAACACTGAAGACATATCTGACTGGCAAAGATGGAGCAGATTATCCTCTTGTGCCTGGCTTCCACCTTTCTATCGGCCGTACATGCTCAGGTAAATATTCATGGGATTAGAGTGGGACAAGTTCAGCAGCAGACTGCAACAGAATTGCAAACAACTTTGTCCATCTTTTTTGCAGAACTTTTTGTTCAGCCCAAAATGGGGTCCCGTTGGCTATAAAGGTAAATGCAATTTGGATTGGATCTAAATGTTTATGTGAGACAGCACGCTGACTAAAAGCTATTTTTTTTTTCAGAACAGGAAGAGTATGATGGGACAGCAATGGATGAAATCATTAAAGCTAATGAGTTCCAAGGTAAGTTTCACACAATTTACTTGTATTCTTTTGCAGTTTACACAATAAATGCGCTCCTGTTTGCCATGTCCAGAATGATTTCATTTTCACTGATATTTGTCTCAGCTTCCCGAATTATAGACGGCACAACCAGTCTCAGAGAGGGAGACATTGCTGTTTCTCATGGAAGGCGCTCCAAAGTCTGCTTTGCTCGTAGCTGCCTCTGGGCTAAGTCAGTGGATGGACATGTCTATGTTGCATATAAGCTCTCACCTGAATACTGTATGCTATTTTTACTTTTCTAAGTGTAAACAAATGCAACACATTACAGTCTGATACTTTTTGAAATTAACTAACTTTGTATTTGATGATTTCGTCTGTTCCTCACCGCTCTGTCTTCACAAATATACAGCGGAAATGGAGGCAAAGCTCATAAAGAAAGGGATGGAAAGTGTAGAGAAAGGTACCTGTGTGCGGTTTATTCCTCGAACTCACCAACGAGACTACGTCGACATCCAGCCGATGTCCGGGTGAGAGTCAAAATGTTACTCCTTTGGCAAAATGTTTTTCTGTGTGGAAGAGATGTGAAATGCAGCAGCTTTTAGAAATATAAGTAGACTTTAAATGAAAAGAATTATCATTTAATATCAACTATCCTGCTCTACGGTACAATACTAAACTCACTCCTTGAAGTTGATCTAATGACATGTGCCGTGTCTGTGTCTGGGTGTGTGTGTGTGTGTGTTCATCCAGCTGTTGGTCCTACCTTGGTGCACGTGGTGGAAGGCAGACCATGTCTCTTCAGAGTCCCGGCTGCCTCCGCGTTGGAGTGATCGCCCATGAATTCATGCATGCCCTGGGCTTTGTGCACGAGCAATCTCGCTTTGACCGGGACAACTATGTCACCATCATGTGGCCAAACATTTGGAGGGGTAATTTCAACGGGGCAGGAAGGGATGGGGGGGAATAAGATCTCCATAAATGTTAAATTAAAGAACAATTATGATTAACTGTATTTCTATACCAATTTTAAAACAAAAATGTGAAATCAACAACAACACATATCAAAATAAATTCTCACAAATAATAAGTATGAAATATTTTCCAACTTCCAACAGATCGGTTGAGGAACTTTGAGAAATTCAAGACTGAGAGTCTGGACCTACCGTATGACTACGGCTCAATCATGCACTTTGGGATGTAAGTAATAATTGAATGTGGATCCCTCAATAATATATTCTACTGTGGTGTATGTATTATGATGTAACACATACTATTCATATGTTCAGGTATGCCTACTCTCAGGACGGGGAGCCGACCATCATTCCAAAGAACAGCCAGAACAGCAAGGACATCCAGCTGGGCCAGGCGTCAGCTCTCAGCCACATTGACAAGATGAAAATCAACAGGCTTTATAAATGTGGTCAGTAACAAACATCCTGAAGTAACTATTTCAAAGCCGAACCATATTGCAATATGGGCTTATGATACCAACCATGTCACTTTTTTCTGTCTCTCTCTCTCTCTCTCTCCATAGCTGTCAATGATGATAACTAACCAAACAGGACTGAGTTGAAACAGGAATTTGCTGAAAGCTAATCCAATAAAACGATGTTAAATCATAGAAACAATTTCAATAAAGATTGATTCAAGCTTTTCATCAGCATTTACCCTGTGTGCAAGCAGTCGTGTTTGTTTAAACAGGACATGTCGCTGATGTTCAGAAGGCTGACAAAGTGAGCGGGGGTGTAAACTATTATAGTAAAGAGAGAAGTAGTCATCCAAGTGTGCTTACCCACCCAATATAAAGTATAAAGCATCTCATTTCATGAATCAGTAACAGATGACTTGAATGTGAAGAGAATGTACTACTTTCATACATGCTGGCATACATAATACTGCAGTAACTTTTTGATGCATGGGTCATGTGATCACATTAAAGGATAACTAGATGGAAGTACGTTTTAATTAGAGGAAGACCGGAACAAATACCTGGATTAATAAAGATATAATCAATAAAAGATATATGATAGTACTCTAATGTTCTGCAGTGACGTAGGTAAGATTTCATAAACGTCATTGTTCTTCAAATTGGCCCCTTGATAAAAATAGAAATACTTTTTGGAGATGGATAAGGGTTTGTTTTTATATATTTACCTATGCGACAAAATGATTGTTGTCAAGACAGTTATAATCTGATAGTTTATCGCAAAATCACTGGTTGCTGGTACAGTCAGACACAAATTGCTGGTCTGTTGGACTGGGTGGACAGTTATTCACGCGATAGCAACTGCTGAGTTGTAGCACATCCAACAGCAAAACACCCTTAAAGTCTCTTCATTTCTGAAAGTGCTGAATCTTACATGCACTAAGTACAGGGCCCAAGTCCAGGTCAGCATCAGGACCACCTGTTAAGGATCAGCAGTGGACTTGAGTAAATTACACACACTGGATGATAAGGGGTCTTAATCGTGCTTCATCGCAGAACATGTGCCCAATCAGTACAGAGCAGAGGAGGAGAAGTGCCTATATAGATTCAGTGGAGGGGAGGAATTCATTTAGCTCTTGCATCGGAGGACTGCAGACTGAAACTGGTACACAAGTCTGAAACACAATAATGCATTCTACTATGATCCTTCTGGGTGTTTTGTTGGGCTTGCTGACCCAGGCGTACACTCTACCCGTTAAGGTCAGTACCAAGAAAAATGATTTTAGAGGAAAAAACCCTTTTAATCTCATTAATGCATCCATGCTTTGCAACCAGAATGTATTTTAATGCACCTTTGTATTACAGAATTCTACTGGAGTGCATGAGGGAAAAGTGAGGTTGAAAAGGAAATACTCAGGTGGGCTCTTAATTTACATTCACTTCATCATGAATGTAAATAATGATACTCTACATATTGGAATATCGAGGAAGAATGTAATGATCTGTCTGTTTTTGTGTTCAGATGAATATACAGACCACGATGAAATGAATGCAATGGATCAAATCCTGGAAGTCAACAGGAGTAAGTAAGCATGTGAATTGGGTAAAAGTTGTTTAGCACACCCTGGACTAACTCAATGTTATTGTTTCCCATCAGGATTGCGAGCCTCCCGAGGACTGTCCTTCAGAGAGGGAGATATTGCCACCTCAAATGTACAGAGTGCCATAACCTGCCCAGGCAATGCCTGTCTGTGGCCAAAATCAGTTGATGGATTTGTTTATGTTCCCGTCATGCTCTCTCCAGAATATGGTATGAATACACAGACATAAAGAGGTGTTGAAAAGGCACTGGGAGTTCAAATCTTTCTGATAAACTCAAATGTTTTTTTGGGGTAGACGACATGGACAGAATCACCATAGAAACTGGGATGCAGGACATTGCCTCTGGAACATGTATTAAATTTGTTCAACGCACTCATGAGGCCAGCTTCCTCGATATCCAGCCTAGATATGGGTGAGCATAAACAGCGACATGTGACTTTTTTAAACGTCTTGAAATTGACTGTGTATGTGATTCTTACGTGGTGATTTTTGGATTGTGATGATGACACATGCCTTTTCTGATTATGTACCCCCAAGCTGTTGGTCGTTTCTGGGGCAGACTGGAGGAAGCCAGGTCCTGTCGCTGCAGACTCCTGGGTGCATGTGGTCAGGAGTGGCCTCCCACGAGTTAATGCACGCCCTGGGCTTTGTTCATGAGCAGTCTCGCTCAGACCGAGACCAGTATGTCTCAATTGTATGGAGAAACATCATGCCAGGTTTGGATGAATGATGACCTCTCTACATTATGTCGTTACATTCAGAAGAGCCTTCTCTTTACCTAGTTAGTGATTTCCTTGTATCTTTTATGTTTTGACAGACCGCATTCATAACTTCAGGAAACAGTCGACAAACAATCTCAATAGTCCATATGACTACAACTCTGTCATGCATTATGGAAGGTGAGCTGCTCTTTGAGGCAACACAATTATTGGTTTTGCATGTCTTTGCTGGGGCGTCACAATACCGTATACTTTATGTATCCTTCATACAGATATGCCTTCTCTGAAGATGGTGGACCAACAATAATCCCCAGACCAGATCCTTACATTCCCATTGGCCAGCGAGATGGACCCAGTAACCTAGATCTTCATAAAATAAATGTCCTATATAACTGTGGTAGGTGAACTTACACATATTCTGACTGAAAAAAAAATCTGTCTTTCATTCAAAATCATTGATTCGATTTTTTCTCTACTCCCCACTACAGGTGTCAATGAGTAACTGGATCCAGAGCGTTATATTCTGTCATAGTCTGTTGTCAGATGTGTGAAGTGGTTCATTGTAACTTCTGGTCTTGCGTAGATAAGATGGGCAATATTACTTTATAGCAATTTCATCTTTCCATAATAGATGTATTATTAAAATTCTAGTCTGTACTTTTAGATTGCATTCAGTCAGCTCTGAGGACAATCTACTAAACTGTGGTAAAGATAAGGATAAATAAAAGGGGCTAGTAAGAATTGAAAGCTGCTTTTCTCTAACATAGCTCAAATCAGCACTGTGATTTGTGTGTTTCGATGTGCCTGCTGCTGCCAATTAGATCACTGCGTCTGATCTTTAAATCAGTTTGTTCCATTTTCTGCCTCCTTCTCAGCTTCTGCTCACTTAAAATAAAGAAAGTGCAACTGTAATGGAGTAATAGTCTGTTTCATACATCTTTGGTCACATCTCTGTCCATGGAGTGTCTGGCATTGCTTTCAGGTGGACATATATTCTACTGAAATTCAGTCTGACAAGAGTTAACCTTTTTTTTACCCATTCACCCATGTGGAATGATGTAGGGTTTTACTTAAATAAAAAGAAAAAAACAATATATGTTTACCTTACCCTGCACTAAACCTTGTGAAAAGTGTCAGGAGTTTTAAATCAGACTAATCAAATCAAACAAAAACTGATTATATTAGCACCTCTGTTTTTTAGGAGCTTTCCTGTACCCCTGTCACCTTACAATCACTTACAATAGCAATAAGTGCTGAAATAAAACGCCACATCTTAAGTTATTATGTTCTGCTCTTCACTGCCTAGTTGTAGTGGAAGAGAAAGGGGAGGAAAGGCAAAGAAACACTAACAGATAGCAGGAACAGACAGTTAGCAGTCTGATGTTAATGGAATGCATACCTATTGCCAACAATGTGGGAAAAATCTTTATTTTCGAAAACATGGTCTTAATTGCTCCCGTGTGAAAGCATAAAATTGCTTGTTATAATCGTTTATATTACTTTTTTTTAATTAATTTTAAAAACCCTTAAATATAACATTGGCTAAATGTTCTGATTTCATTTCCTTGCTAAAAGGAGAATTATAAAAAACATGCAGTTAGATTCTCTTTGAAATAGTGCACATTAACATGGTTGATGAGTTAGATGACACTGTCGTTGACAGTAGGCTTGACTGTAAATCCTTCAAGGTTCATTCGCAATCTCAAACTATTTACAACTATTATGTTTGTGTTTCTCAGTAGTTTACTATGTTATTTGGATATACACAGTCAAATAGTCAATATGGATCGAGCTCTTTAAGAGGCTAAAATTAGTTGAAGAAACTATAAGAGTATATTTTGGTAGAAAGTAGCTTATCATACTCATGTGCCCGCTGCATGCATCGAGGAGGAGGGTTTTTATTATAGACCCTAGTCTAGTAGCTGCTGCAGCACACACACACGCGGTTGTAGCTAGCTAGCTGGTTAGCACCGCGGAATTTAAAACCTGATATTGTAATATATATTCGGTGGCATTAAAAATGAGCGATAACGGCAAAGGTTACGGCGATCGGGTACGTATGGTCTCTGTGACGGCTTTATAACGTTTTAATTGAGCTAGCGTTACTGCTGAAATGATAACACTAACGTTACGTTAACAGTCTTCACATTGTGTGGACTAACGTTAGCTAGCGAGCTAGCTAGCTAGCTAGCTAGCTCCACTCTCCAGACAAAATATCACTGGATTATTTTATGAAACATGAACATGTCAATTTTATTTTAGATTTATTTATATTAACGCTAGATGTCTCCACGAGGGCAAGCCAATGTAACGTTACTGTAAATTATAACTGCTGCTAATACCCGTTAGCTAGCTCACTAGCTAGCTAGCTAACGCTGATCAACGTTAGCTAGGCCGAAACCATGTTATTAAAACCCTAATCGTTAAAGAATGAGTCATTTGGACATTTAGCATAACGTTGGCAAATGTCGTTATTTAAGCAGTCAGACGTACGAGCTGAATATCTTGAATAGCTAACTGTAATTCTACAGTGTGCAGAAACTATAACGTCAAAGAATACCATTTTATATCGGTATAAGGCTCATTCTGTATCTGAAACTTGAATTATGGTTTCTCTCGTATTACTTATGGCAACAATATGTCAACAAACGGCCTCAAGATGTCTTCTTATTAATTTGCATGAGGTAACTCACACGTTCAGCCCTCGTGTTGCATAGTAGTTTTAGTAAAAGTAAATGGTTAATACAAGGTCACAATGTGTTTGTGTGCGTGTCAAGAAAATGTATTTTTACTCCCAAGATGTCATGTCTGTTATGTCTGTGCTGATGATGCAAGTTAACACGATTGATTGGCAGAAGCATCTTGAGGTCGTTAGGGATAAGTTAGGCCGAATTGTTTTTGTTTTATCACTGTTTGTGGGGTTTAATGTTTAGTAAGTATTATACACATTCAGTGGTTTGACGTACTTTAGAGGCCACTTTACATACATTCTTTGAACACAATATATGTATTGCAAAAGGAATTGTAAGTTAAAAATGTGAGGTAAACATAGCTCATATTGTTTGTCATGTGTTTGACATTTTAAAAAACCCAACCAAGATGCCTCTTAGAGGTTCAAAATGAAAGTGGTCGATATGACATATCGGTAAATATAGAACCACTGAATGTGAAATATTTATTGAACTTGAAATCAAAAGATTGTGTGGTCTTAAACATTTCCATGCATGTCATAGGATATAATAACACTAAGTTGAATGAGGGTGCCGTTTTTAATCGTAGTCATATATTCTCCATCCTTTTCTTTTTCATAAAGGTTAAGAAGAAAGTGCGGAAGAAGTCCACTTAATTTTCAATAATATGAAGCTCTGATGTGTGAAGCTCAATTGTTGAGTGCATGCTAAAACATGAGGAGGGAAGAAGTATGGGCAGTGTGTGAGATGGGGGAAGTAAGAAGAAGTAAAACAATTGAAGAAAGAAGAATAATGTGAAGTAATGAAGTTACAGAAATGAAGTCGGTAATCTGGATAAGGCCACAGCGCTAAGTAATTTTCTGGTCTGTTTGTCAAATGCGTGCATGTTCTTGTTATTGAATACAACAAGCAGTTTAAATCATTGCAATTTTTTTACACAACTGACAAATTACTGTTATTTCATCATGTTGCCAATATAATTGAATTGATTTAATGTAATTCTGTTGCTATCATATTATCCATGTCAACCAAATAGCATTTACCTGCATTCCTAATCCACTATCCTGTTTTCTGTACTTTTTACAGGATAGTCTTAATTACTACATAGAATTATTTAGGCAAATTTCTCAGCCTGTCCTCTCAATGACGCTGATAAGAGGTGTGTTGGTGTGTGTGTGTGTGTGTGTGTGTGTGTGGTTCGTTCAGGAGTCTCGCTCTGCGTCCAGGAGTGTGAGTCAAAGGGGCTCCGGGAAGTCGGCAAGCCGGTCACCCGCCCGGTCACCTGCCCGCTCGAAAGAAGGCTCCCGCCACTCCCGCTCTAAATCTCGGTCTCGGTCCAGGTCAAAATCAGGGTGGGCGACTCCACATGCATCTATACATCCACCATTGCATATATAGATGCATATGTGTCTCTTTTAAGCAGCTGTAGAGAAATTGAAGATGAATAACCACAGAACCAGTGTGAATGTTGGAAGTGATTCTGTCTACACAGGTCTCACTCCCATCGGGGCTCACGGAGACACTATAGCCGATCTCGCTCCCGCTCGAGGTCCTATCATCGGCGGTCTCACAGTCGGTCCTACAGTGGAGAGCGCCGGCGCAGGAGTCACAGCCGCTCACCGATGTCCAACCGCCGCAGGCACATCGGCAATCGCGTAAGTCAGCTTTGCTTGTGCTCTTTCTGCATAATGTCTTGACTATATTCAATCTCGGTTCCTAAACACTACTACCTTTTATGTTTTGTGAATGAAGGACTCTTCAGAATCTTAATATCTGTAAAATTGCAGGCTAATCCGGACCCAAACGGTTGCGTGGGAGTGTTTGGCCTGAGCTTGTACACCACAGAGAGGGATCTGAGGGACGTCTTCTCTAAATACGGCCCCCTGGCGGACGTCTCTATCGTGTATGACCAGCAGTCGAGGCGCTCCAGGGGCTTTGCTTTCGTCTACTTCGAGAACAACGGTGACGCTAACGAGGTATAAGAACATGAGTCGTGAAAAGTCCCCTGACTGACGTGTTCCTGGAATGTGTTCCTGGAATATGTTCTGTGTCTAAAGAGGTCACTTGTATGTTTGTTCTCTGTCAGGCAAAGGAACGAGCCAATGGCATGGAGCTGGATGGTCGAAGGATCAGAGTGGACTTCTCCATTACAAAAAGACCTCACACCCCTACCCCTGGAATCTACATGGGTCGGCCCACATAGTAAGGCGTCTTAGTGTTTGATTCGATTTTCTTCTCATCTATCAAAGATAAAGATGAATACTTACACAGTTTTTTTTTTTTTAATGCTTTATTTATATATATTTTTTATTTATCAGATAAGACATTGAGATAAGCCATCTCAAGGAAAAAATATTTCCAGAAAGATAAAGAATATTGTAAAGAAAAAACAACACTACAGCATTCGAAACAGACTGATCCCAAAAAAAAA